AACATTAAAAACATAAAATATATAAATACATAAAACCTTAATTAAAAAGATTACTAAAAAGAAGAAGGAGAGACCAAGAGGATGAGAAATCTGAGGCTGAAGGCCTCTATGGGGCTAGCCATTTATTGATTGATTGACTGATTGATTGACTGAAATCTTCTATTGCAAAGCTGAAGGCAGCAAATGTTAACCCATCCTCCTGGCAGTTTCCCCCCCACAACAACCCTATGAGGTAGGCCGGGCTGGAAGGGAGGGACTTTCAGCACCCCCCAAGGAGCTTCTATGGCCAAGGCAGGACTCCAACCCAGATCTCACCTTGCCCATTTGACCACACACTCCTGCATTTTCTGTTCCTATTGATGCTGCTCCCTCACCCCGAGGGGCTCACGGAGGTCACCCTCCCCGCAAGGAATGCAGCCTTACCGGTGGACACGGGGCGCCGGTTGTCGGTCCTCGCTACGCTCGCCAAGGTCAGGCGCTGGAGCTGGAGGTCAAGGAGCCGGACCGCAGCCTCGTCGGTCGACCGTGGCCGAGCGAAGCTGCTCTCGCGCAGGCCGGGCAGGTGGGGGAGGGAGCCGATGCTACAGCGCGAGGCCCCGGGTCCGTCGCTGTGCACCGAGGCGCACGAATCCGACAGGGAGCCCATTTCGCTGGTTTCGTAAAACCCTGAAATGTGCAGAGACCCCTGGTTACAACATGCTGGGCTGCACACAGATTCTTGAAAAGAAGTACAAAGGAGGGGATCAGATCGACCCATGGCCATGATGGAACCTCCATGGGTAGTAACAGCCTACCCCAAATGGCAAATGCTGGAGAGAAACGGGGAGGATGGTTACTCTCATGCCCAACCCTCTCGAGATTGACTGGATCTACTGGATTACAACACCCAGTTTGCACATACTGATTTAATATACTGGCTGGGTAGGGAGAGAGATCTACACATCGAAACTGCTCACTAACAGGCGGATTCAGCCACAAGCCAGGATTCCCTTTGTGGAGCTGGAGATGGCATAACCTCCAAAGCACTACCACAAATCATGGCTTGTGGGCGGTTTACACATCTTAGCTTGCGTTAACCATGGCTTGCTGGACCCAAACTTGTAATCCAAGTTTTGCATTCTTTGTGGGCACCCATTCAGACAGCTCTGAGCCCGGAGCGCCTTAAAACCACGGAGGGCAACAAAGGAGGATGAACAAAACGCCATTACTATTTCGTTTGCCTGCAAGATAGCTTGAAATGGTTCGACAGACCCTGGTTTACACAAACCCTGGCTAGGGAAGACCAACAAACACAGACATCCAAGCTTGGAGACCAAGCAGGACAGAGTCCAGAAAGGAAATGGTAGGACCTACGTTCTCCAAACGTGGACCATACCTGAACTGGGCCTGGAATCCGCTTCTGGCATCTCTGGGGTGTCTCCTCCGTTGATCCCCACTTTCTTGTTCTGCTCACCCATCATCCTCAACCCCAACGCTTCCTTGTCCGAACCATCTTCGGCCCGAACGCACAGCTCTCCAGCATCCACCTCCATGTTCTCCGACGAGGTGTAGAAGGCACAATGTTCCTCGGAGCATCCAAGGAGATGTTCTGCTTTGCTCTGGTCCAGCTTTGTGCCGGTGGCGTGGGCCAACTTCCCATCTCCAAAGCAATTCAGGTCCTCCTATTTGGCCAGGTAGAAGAACAGAGAAAGGTCAGAAGATCTTTTCTGGTGGGGGGGAGGCCCAAAGACCTGTGGCACTCAACCTCGGAGCGACGCTGCGTTTGCCAGAGTAGATCCCACCCATCCACCGTCCATCCTCCTCTCTTTCCAGCATCCTGCATGGTCCCCAAACTGTTGGGCTGAAAAGCAGCACACCGGCTCCCACCGCTAACCCAACAGCGTTTCAACCCCGAGAAGCAAAATACAAGCTGCATTCGTTCGTTACAGTGGGTAGGTGGGTGAGTTTCAGGCAGAGAATGGTACAAATTCAAAATACAGTGGAACCTTTGGTTATGAACTTAATTCGTTCCGTGACTCTGGTCGCAACCCGAAGGAAATTTCCCCATAAGGTTCAATGTAATTACCGTTAATCCGTTCTGGTGGGGAGGACAGGGAGGCGTCTATTGCTTGGAGGGAGAGTCCCCCTCCCTACGGCCACGGTGTCGGGGGCAGAAAATGGCCGCGGACCACGTGTCGGGGGCGGAAAAATGGCCGCGGACCA